CTGTTGAATATTCAGCAGGCGCGTGGCCCGGCCCCGCCCCCTACGTCAGCGCCCCGGCCGGAGCTCAGCAGCCGCCTGGGCGGGGAACGCGCTCACGGTAACAACGAACGAGAAAAGGGACGAACGGTGTTTTCACGAGCCAGGGAGCCGGAGCACGTGGGAAAGTGCGCGTGGCAGCGTTCCCCGCGTTGCCCTCCCGGGGGCAGACAGGGCTGGGGCCTCTCCTCCGCACAGCGGGTGTTTCGCACTCAGTTACTGACGGAAACTTGCATTTTAAAGAACCAATGACACAATACACACGAGTTTTTCCCCTATCGCTTGGCCAGTTAAAGGACAAAATGTACGATACCTTTAACTGGGGAAGAGCGAGGGGGTGTTTGTTCATTACACGTCCCCTATCCTCGCTTGCAGGTGCTCCGTAAACGCACGCCTGCTTGCCTGCGCTGCTGCCCAGTTGCTGCGACAGCCTCGGTTACCGGAACTGAGAGATGAAACGTGTATCAGAAAATCAAGAGACCAACTTTTCAGTTGTTAAAAAGGGGATGGAGATTGTTTTTCCCAGCACTGAGTGGCAACTAGGCAGCAGGCCAAGTACTCACACTGGGTAGAGGCTTTTCGAATGTTAGGGTAAACCATTATTGGCTCAGGCAGTTTGGTTATTTGGGAGAGAGTAGAGAGAAAAAGTGAAATGGATACTGGAATCGCAATGGGCATGAATGGTGGAAGGTGAGGTAGGAGTGAGACGTAAGAGTTGGCTTTTAACAGCTGTGTATCACACAAAACCCGGCATTGCTTCAGAATCTGAACATTACAGGTTTTGTCAAACTAACATTGAAATCACACAGGTGGAAATCCTAAAAATGTATCACTAGCAAGCAGACAGTCCTACACGAACTTCTGTGGGAACTATACAGAGATGCTGCAAAACAAAACACCCCCAAACTCAGTATAGGTTAAGTCATGTTTCTAAGGCCAAACAAACTTCTATGAAAAGACTTAATTTACACATTTATTTACAGTTTGAAAACAAAAACATCCCCATACAACCTCTCAAAATATTTATACTGTGCTGTGAAGTTACAAAGACTGCCGCCTTTGCACACTGACATATCTAAAGGGAATCGGAAATTCCATATACACAAAGTGCACACACAAAAAGGTTCCAGGTAACAATCACAAAAGAAACACTCGTATGCTATAACTGAATCTACAGATCAAATCCATCTCAAATTAAAAATGACGCAGCAAGTTACATGAAGATATCTATATAATTACCAATTACAATTCACCAACCCTAAAGAACTCCAACGCAAAGCTGCTGTTTGCATCAGTGAATGTTGTCACTTTGATTCTGCAATCTTTATGTCTCCAAGCACAAAAAAGTGCAAGGATTGCAGGAAGATCAAGTCTTAATTGAAATTTCTAAACCACAGACTTCCTCAAAAGAAAATTATTGCCTGTTTCGTTGTATTCCTCCAAGGTGAAATTTCACAAGACATTAATACCAGCAGATAGATTTTTGTTTTGGTTTTAATTTAAGTATTTGTTACTGGCTGTTGCCCTTGGTGAGTGAAAACGCTGGATCTGAATTAATATCCATTAAAGCTGGATGGAAACTTCCAAAAGTCCTTTCTTCCCCATGCCCTGCAATGGTTTTTGAATGTAATCTTCATCTACTAGGATAAAAGCAGGCCTGACCTGCAAATGGGTAGTTCCACTACTTGAATGGGACTATTCACGTGCTGAAAATGGGGCATGTATTCCGTTACGCAGCTAAACTGGAACTGAAGTAAGGCGGCCACCTGGAATATCTCCACCATCTACAGCTGTGGAATGGCTACAGCTCTTACTGTATCTTTAGCTAGCTTTAACTTCACAAATACTACTAAAAATACAATTAAGAGCAGTCATCACATTTAAATTTAAAAAAACCCATGTCTCCGTATAAAAATAATAACAAAAATTAGTTGCAAAGTTATTTAAGGGCTAATTTCTGTTAAAGACAAATGTGGGAAAATAATTCAAAGAAGCCATAATTTCGAAAAAACTTTAAGGGATTATCAAGGAATATTATTTTTAAAAAATCTGTCTTAAAGTTTATGATGATTTTGATTAATACCAGTAACAAGTGAGTTGTATATTTCTCTATTAATCAGTTTTAAATTAAGGGCTTACAAAGCTTCCTGGAAATAAACCTTTTTTCTCTCTAATTTTAAAATAATTCCTAGCTTTTTGCGGTATACATGTAAGTAGTGGTGAAAGTGGTGCATCAGCCATACCTGGAGAGAGAGACAGATAATTATGGCTTAACTCAACCAATGTTTACCTTTCATAACTGTTATAAAACTGAAAACACAGCTTGGGCATCTATGTACAAACTAGTAGTTCTAGAACAAACAGGTATGTATTTAGACATAAATTTTTATAGTGGTAACAATAATTACTCTACTAAATTTCTATGTATTTCTAAAACTGTGAAGGTTTTCCCTTATGCAAGATACAAGCAGGATGTAAGACGACAAAAATATTTAACTGTGTATTTTTGCTCCATTTGATAGAGTTGGAACACTTACCTGCTGGTGCCAAGGATTTCAGCGATTCTAAAAGATGTGGACTAGAAAACTTGACCAGACATCTGAACGGTTCTTTTTTATCCAAAACATCCATTTTAGGATCACTTTTAAACATCGTCTCAAGCTGTTGACACAAAATTTAACCAGGGACTATAAGCAATTAATATGTTTTATTTATAGGTTATTATTTAAATATTACATTAAAAAAGTAATATCTAATAAGACTGTATCTTATTTGTCTATTATTTCTAATGTTAACATGATTCCAGCTGGAGGACTATTTTAATAAAATCAGAGGGTGCCACCATGCGGTAAAGAGTTTTCTCCTGAAAGAGGCAGCTTGTTCAGTAATACTGTAAAGACATCAAGTATCTCTTAGGATTTCCAATATATCTGTTCATCAGATAAAATCCGCACGTCATCCAAGAAGTTAAATTATGGTGTGCTATGTAGCGTGAGCTTTGTATGTACTTCAAATAACTAATTACCACTATATTAAAATTATATAAAAGAAGAAAATTTGTTGCTTTTACTACCTTATATTGTGCAAATTCGAGTTTTGGTTGGGGACCATCACCAAAAATTTCCCGATTCACTCTCTCTATTCTTTCTTTCTCGTTTTTGTTTTCTTGAATTATCCTTAAATCTGTTGCAGGGGAAAAGAGTAGAGAA